GGCCCGGCTGGGCGGGCGCGGCTGGTTGGCCGCCGTGGCCGTCGGGCGCACCGCCGGCAGGACCTAATGAGGTGCCGCCCGCGAACTGGCCTGGATGCAGCTGAAAGGCGGCCGTTGGGCTGGGGCGCTGCGTATTGACAAACGGCGCGTCCTTGGCGTGGGCGGGCAGCGCGCCGGCAGGCAGCGCGCTGTCCGCGCCTGCACCGCTGCGGCACGGCGCCGCGCCAGCTGCGAACTGCGCGTTCATCGCGTTCACGCGCCCCGGCACGCTGTGCAGGTGTTCCTAAACACTTGACTTGTCATCCGCCATGCCGCAGGCTCCCCACACTCAAGTTTTTCGCGCGCGCATCGGTTCCGTGTCCGCGGCCCTGGCCAAGCAGGGTACAAAAAGGGCTGGAACACGGGCACTAGAGTATCTGTGTGTTTCTTGAAGGTGGCCCTCCCATTTTTTGGAACTCTGTGGTGTGCACTGCAGCGAAACGAAGTTACCCGACAAGACACCGTCGTCGAAGAAGCCTTGATGTGTCATTTGTGAGTACGCGCTTGCCCTCCTTATCTGAGGACGACTGCCCGTGTCACGCTGCACGCTGCGATGCCGCCCAGTTCATGCAGGCACCATTGCAGGGCTCCATGGTTTGGCCCCTGTGGGCCCCCCGCCCGTAACGCAAGCTGCGCAGCACACCTCAACACCGGCCAGCAAGTGCATGTGTCCGCATCCACATGCCCCGGCCCACTAAATAATACTCTGCACAGTCTCCATTATGGTGCACGCACAACAATACCCTGGGATGACTCACGAGAACATTGCACTGGTCGCCCCGCTGACAGCCATCCTGGGTGCCACCTCGCAGTTGAGGACTCTTGAGCCCTACAGGCTGCGCGCAGCAAGATGCAGCACGGTCTGCCTTGAGGCGTGGGACTCGCGGAGGTCACCTGTGGTGGCAGTGCGATTCCCAGAACAAACTTGTGTATCTGAAGGGATTATGCCAGGTCAACTTCCAGTCATGCCAGTGATACATCATGTTATTGAACCCACAGCTTTGCATGCCTTGAAACGAAAGTGTACCTAAACTTCATCGAGCTCTGCGCTGCAACCAAACAGCCGGGCGGGTCTGTCCGGTGCATGATGAAGGGTGCGTCGGGGCGGCATGCGGACAGACAACATGTTTGATATTACAAGGTGCTTGTGCAAGTACCGAGCTCCCCCCAGCAGACATCCTGATGACACGTGACCCGTGCTCCTGCACCCACCTCACCCTTGAACCTTGAGCACGAGAAGAGGTTGCGCCGACGAGAAGTGTCGTGGGCGGCGGTGTGCCCAGCAGGTGCCCCGCACCATACAGCAGCGTCGTGTGCTAGATTATGAAAGAGATGAATGGGCATTCTCAACATCTATCAACACATTGGGCCTGCCACTCACACACGCGGCGAAACAGGGGACACTCATCCGAGCAAATTGTCAACGGTGGATCAGCAATTCAAAAAATAGGAAAAGCTCGTATGATGCAGAATACTCGAAGCTTTAGTTGCACGACAAAGCACGTACCATTTAGATCAGGCAACAAGATCACTGGTACTGTGACAGACGCACCCAGGATGCCTTGATGCCTGTGGCAGCAACATCGTGAACTTTTGAAAGCCATGGCTGCCGATCTGCGGCAGCTGTACTGGCCCGGGCCGTTCCGCGGCGTTTACCAGCAGCTGCAGGCCGCCAACGCCGCGAGCGAGCCGCGCCTGCGCGAGCTGCTCGCGGGCCGCCAGGACTGGCTGCTGCTGGGCCTGGCCAAATTCCAGGCCCCGAGCGACGCGTCGCGCAGGGCGGCGCAGGACGCGTTTAAGGCTGGCAAGCTGGTGCTGTCCGCGGCGCCTGCTGGCGAGAAGGGGGGCGGGCAGCGCGTGACTGTCGAGCCACGCCTGGAGCAGGCCGCCCTCGAACTGAGCGCAATACTGGTGCGCACGCATTCCATGCACGCGCGGCCGGGCTGGGTTTTGCGGACCCGGAGGCGGGGCGCGGGGCGGGGCAGGCAGGACGACAACGCCATGGATTTTGCATGCTATTGCTTGGCCCGTCCGAAGCCTGCCGGCGTGCTGCCGCGCTCCTGGTCACGCTGTGGCACGCCACGCGCGCATGGCAGCCTCTCCGCGCAGCCGTGCGTCCGCCTTTCGCGCTGTGAGCGCCGCGACTGCCGCCCGCGTGCGAGCGAGCGTGCGGCGCCGCCCCTCCAGGCCGCCGCTTCCTGCAAACACCCCCGGCTCCTACGTCAATAGGACCTGGACGCGGTCCAGACCATCTTGCTGCTGCGCCGCTTCTCAGCCGACACGGGCACGCAGCTCGCGCCGGCTGCGGCAGCGAACGGGGGCGGGCCCATCACGTTGGATGCAGCGGTCGTGCTGGAGGTAGGGGGGCCGTGCGGGCTGGCTGCTGGCGGCATGGGCGCGCGCGCCGCGCACAGGCACGCTGGCGCACGCCGCTCAATGTGTCCTGTGTGTACGATCGAGCACACGGGATAGACTCGCGTCGGCCGCCGCCAGCGACTGAGGGCGCGCCCGGGCCGCAGCTGCGGGCCTTGGACTGAGAGCAGGCCCTGCCGCCTTGTCCCGCGCCAAAACCCCGTAATCTCAGATCATCGATTACTACTACTCTGAGCGCCTCTACCTGCTGAAGTGCCTGCAATACCTGACTATCTCTGGTGCGGTTTTGGGGGGCGAGGGGGGGGGGTCGTGGCTGCCGCGCGCTGTCTGCCATTGACGTAAGCAATCCAACTGTGCGACCAGCATGCCGGGTGCGCGGCGCACCGCACGGCCCCTTGGACTCGCTTTCTTACCTAAAAAAACCCGCGGCCCCCCTCCCTCCCCGCATGCAATGCAGTTGAGTCGGACCGGGGCGGCGTGTGCGCGCAGGCGCTGGGGGCGCTGCTGGGCAGAGGGCTGCCGCTGAAGGTGTTCCATTCGCTGTCGACCAACCTTGCTGCGGAGGGCGGCGGCGGCGGCGGCGGCGCGCAGGCGGCCGCGCAGGCGGCGGCGGCGGGCGCGCTGGTCGTGGCGGGCACGCAGGCGCTGGCGCCGTCCGCGGC